CTTGATAGAACGGGTGCTGCGTCAAGGATGGGTATCAGCAAAAACTGTCAGTTCGGTGTGTTTCGAAGTGGATCCACGGTCTGACAACCAGTGCACATTCAACGAGACACTTGCATTGAGCAGCGACGGGATGATTGCACCAGTGCGGAAGGAGAACTTACACTTTCTCAGCGTGGCTGGCAGCCACACGGTTGGAGGGTTGAATGCGGTGGCTCATTCGTGCGCAACTTTCTTGGACGAGATCGCCACCGACGGCCGCTTGTCCATCGACAAAGTGAGGGCCGTCAACGCGGACTACGCGGACGCAGTTGCGACTGGATTCAAATGGCGAGTGATTCGTTGGCAGGTTGACGAAAGGTTCCCAGGATTGGCCGCCTACATCCAGGAGGCGATGAATTCGGGTCATGACACGGAGCGTGTGGCTACTAAGATCCAGGTGCTCCTCGAGCTTCACCGCAAGGGCAAGGCCAACGTTTCTCAGCACGGAGACTTTCGATGGCAGAACATCGCGACGAGCGTGGAGGCTTCGAAGCAGCACATGAGGGGCCAGATCATGGACATGACAGCTTTCGTCGAGCGCTGGAGCGGCGGAGCCTCGGGCGACTTCTTGGCATCGCTGAACGAGTGGGCGAAGACCCTTCGCAGCCGTGCTGAAGTTCCTGGGAGCATGTTCAAGATGCTGAGCAGCCTGGAGCTCGACAGCATGCCCGAGGTGGTGTACTCCTTACTCAAAGCGGCCATGCGCTCACCGCCTAAGTACTGCCACGCGGGGACAACGACAAGCAAACTCCTGAACAGCACGGACGTCGGGACCTTGATCAAGGACAAGCGCAGGGAGCTCATCGACTTGGCCGCAAAGGTGCGGGCATCGAACATCTGGTACACCGAGGACCTCCTGAAGGCTGGCGTTCACGTGAGCAGGGCTACCTTCGTCAAGCTCCAGGGTGTCATGGAGGTTGATGCGATTATGTTCTTGATGAAGAAGGCTGTCCCTAACAAGGCCGCGCACGCTAGCTTGGACCAGATTGCAGGTGAGTTCATGGACGCACTGTACTTGGCGCACCCAGCGCTGAAGGACGTCCAGCCCCCCTGGAACCCGCCCGAGAAGAAGTCGTCGCCCAACTCCAGCAAGAAGGGACAGAGCGGCTTCCGAGAGCTTTCGACGGGCGGTCTCAACATGGGCGTCGTCACGTCGTTGGGCTACAAGCAAGGCCTGATGGTTGAGCTCAAGAAGAAGCCAGAGGACGTGGGCGGGCCCCAGCAGTGGCAGATCAGCAAGATCGATGCCGTCAACGACATGGTGATGCTCAAGACGGTCAGGGACGGGGAGGTCAGCAAGCTCATGGAGGACGTCGTGGAGATCGACTGCGGCAAGCTGGTCGATTTGTACAAGGTGGGGACGGGTGATGATGATGATGATGATGATGATGATGAAGGTGCTGGTGGTGATGACGATGATGATGACGACGACGATGATGATGCTGATGATGATGATGATGACGATGATGGTGATGATGATGATGATGATGGTAATGCCGACAATGATTGCGATGATGATTGAGAACCTCAGGAGGGACCAAACGACCTGAAGAGACCGAACGGCCCAAGAGGGGACCACATGACTCAGGCCATCCGGCCTCAGTCGTTCGGCCCCCTGCTGAGTCGTTCGGTCCCGTCATGGGTTCCCTCTCCTCCTCCTTCATCCTTTTCCTATTCCTCATCCACCTCCTCCTGGGGGCTTTTGAAAGCAAAAGAACATGACACGCATGGGTTTTGTTTCATTGTCCCATCCTCGCCTCTCGAGCCGTACCCCCCCCGCGCCCTCGCGAGGTGGTGGTCGAGCAGGAGGTCGAGCGGTTCGAGAGCAAGGGCGCCGCCCTCTCGGACACCCGAGGTGGAGGAGGAGGAGAGGGAGGAGGAGGAGGAGGGGGACGAGGAGGAGGAGGAGAAGCAGCAGCAACAGGTGGAGGAGGAGGAGGAGGAGGAGGAGGAGAGGGAGGAGGAGAAGGAGGAGGAGGAGGAGGAGCAGCAGGAGAGGGAGGAGAACGAGGGGACGAGGAGGAGGACGAGTAGAAGTGGAGGAAGACGATGAGGAGGAGACGGATGATGAGGATAAGGATGGGAAGGAGGAGGAGGAGGGGATGAGGGGGGAGGGAGGGCGGAGGAGGAGGGCAATGCGAAGGAGGAGGAGGAGGAGGAGGAGGAGGAGGAGGAGGAGGAGGAGTAGGAGGACCACGGGAAGGATGACGAGAAGGGCGAGGAGGAGGAGGAGGAGGAGGAGGACAAGAGGAGGGGTAGGAGGAGGGGGAGGGGCCCGAACGACTCACACCAGGAGGTGAGTCGTTCGGGCCCGTTCAATATCCACTTCCTCCGAATGTGTCTCTGCTGTGTGCGTGCATGTGCAATGCTTTCGTGTACACCCACAATGCTGCCCGTTTAAGCCTCCCTGGCACCCCCGCGCAAGCCTTCGAGGCAAGGCTGCGCCTCCTCTCGCGGCGACACACTGCAGTTGCCGCGGCCTGGGACGAGTGCAGGAGTGGGCCTGGCTGGCTCGTCCCAGGCTGACTGCCCCGGGGCTCGCGCGAGGTGGCGTGGGTCCGTCGGGTGCCAGGGGCGTTTTTTACATCATGATATCTGCGAATTCTGAGCGATACCGAATGTTGTCCCTCGTGCTCGCTTGCGGCGTGCGGGTTTTGAGCGATGCCGAACGTTGTCGCTCGCACTGCTTGCTGTTGCAGAAAAAAAACGATACAAATACTTGCACAGTTGCAGATCCAACTGTATATGTATATAACATGGGGAGGGCAGCGGGGACGGAGAGGGGGACTGAGGACGAGGAAAGAGGGAGGGGCATATGGGGAGGAGGAGAGAGGGGGGGGTGTCTGGGGAGGACAGCGGTGGACGGGAGAGGAGGCGCAAAACGGAGAGCTGAGGAGATGACGGACGATGAGGATGATGATAATGGTGATGAGGAGGAATAGGAGGAGGGTAGGGGGAAGGATGATGATGATGACGATGTCGATGAGGAGCGATGAGGAGGAGGAGGATGAGGAGGAGGAGGAGGAGGAGGAGGCGGAGGCGGAGGAGGAGGAGGAGGAGGAGGAGGAGCAGGAGCAGGAGAAGGAGGAGGAGGAGGAGCGCCCCCCTTTCTCCCCATAAGGAGACGTTGGGCGCGTCCGTGCTGCGTGCGTCGCTGATCGCGAAAGAGGCGATGTTCTCGGCCTACGCGTCCAACTCGCAGGCCGTTGATGTCGACATATTGTTTTCCCGCGGCGCGGGTGCTAAGGTCAATGTGCAGAAAGTTGTTGTCAACAAAAAATACGACAAGGGGTCTCTCGTTCTTGTTGCACTCTCCAATACCTGTAGCGTTGCCCTCACTGCCAGAGTCCCCGCAGGTGCCGTGCATTTTTTAAGGTTTGACGGCATCCCAGTAGGCCATTCTGCGTTCGTGGTTCCTACACAGGTGTGGCCCGCAAAGGCGGGCGCCAGTAAGAAACAATCGTTTGTGGCTCCATTTTGGGAGGTCCCTTCCACTGATGCCAGAGGGGATGCCAACATGATTGACGGCGTTGTCAAAGTAGAGGTCCATAGGGAATGCAAGCCTGGATCTGGTAGTTCGAAGATTGTCGTTGCGGTGCCGTGTTTGGTCAATTCGAAAGCGGTTGCAAAAGACTCCGCGTTGCTTCGCTTAAAGGCAGACCACCAGGCTGTCAATGCGAAGAGGGCCGCCGACGAGCCCCAGGATAGCCCGAAGGTGCCAAAGGACACCAAGAAGGCTAAGAGGTGATTCCAAGGGATGGGCTGTGAATCTCAATCAGTTTATGTCTAGAGGCCATTAGAGTTCGTACCCCAGTGGTCACATCCCATGGTTGGCCTCAGAGTTCGTACCCCAGTGGTCACATCCCATGGTTGGCCTCGCATGTCGAGCTTCGCGCGTGTGTGTGTTACCTATGCTGTTTTCCACTGCCTCGGGCACAGCACGCGCTGCGACATTGTGGCTTGGGGCGGTGCGTATCTTCAGCTGGCCTGGCGTTAACAGTTTGAGGGTTGCGAGCGGCTGGCAGAGTTTTGCTTAGCCGCACGTCAGGCTGGCTGCGACGGTTCACCGCTCGCTCTGGAATCACGCCAGCAATACGATCGGTTGAACCCCGTGGGGAAGAGGAGGGGAGGAGGAGGAGGAGGAGGAGGAGCAGGAGGAGGGGGAGGGGAGAGGGGAGGAGGAGGAGGAGGAGGAGGAGGAGGAGGAGGAGGAGGAGGAGGAGGAGGAGGAGGGGAGCACAATAAATCCACGAGTGGACGTCTTGCACACCTTTTTGCCCGAGTTGTTAAACCAAACGCAGATGGGGGAGGGAGGAGGAGGAGGACGACGAACACTGGTCGACCATTGAACCTCGCATGGGGCGGTTCATGGTCAGAATTTCGATGCGAGTCCAGCCGCAGCGACGGGGGCCCCGAAAACGACCGAAACGTCAGATCAGGGGGCGAGGCGCAGAATCAGGAACGACCGCAGGCGGCAGCGGCCCCCCTCCTGGATTCCATCTCCTCCTCCTCCTCCTCCTCCTCCTGCTCCTCCCCTCCTCTCCTCCTCCTCCTCCTCCTCCTCCCTCTCTCCCCCTCCTCTCCCTCCTCCTCCTCCTCATCCTCCTCATCATCATCGTCATCATCACCATCCTCCTCCGCATCCTCCTCTGCCTCCTCCTCCTCCAGCTTCCCCTCCTCCTCCTCCTCCTCCTCCTCCTCCTCCCCCTCGTCCTCCTCCTCCTCCTACTCCTCCTCCTCCTCCTCATCATCATCATCACCTTCCCCCATCGTCACATTCCTCTTGCTCTTCCTCTTCCTCCTCCTCCTCCTCCTCATCCGCCTCCTCCCCATCCTCCTCCTCCTCCTCCTCATCGTCCTCATCCTCAACCTCCTGGGGTTCGTTTGGAACTTGCTGGCTGTCTCAAAGGGCTGACTGTCCCGAAAGGCCAGAGAGGGGGGGGCGCAGTTTTGAGGCCGCGAGGGGGAGGGGGCACACTCTTCCCGCCGCCCCCCCACGCTCGTCTCCCCGCGTAGCCATTTTGGCTCAAGCTCGTGACTCTTCTCAGACTCGCCCGCAGGCCGACTGGGCGCGATGCCAGTCACCATCAAGGACGGGTTCAGTGTGATCGCAACTGACGAGGACGTGTCGATCGCGAAGAGCTGGGTCGTGAAAAAAACGTTTTCCGACAATCGGTCGCGGGTGCTGTGTGATCGGTTGAACGCTGGCTTCCGCGCGTTCTGTTTGAACGGCTTCGACATGCTGGACATGATGCACGCCAAGCGGAGCGAGGTGTGCGACCCCCTCCTCGCCGCTGCTGCCGCCCCCCAACTTGACGAGGAGGCGGAGATTGGCCCCCCAGCGGCCAAGGTGGCCAAGAAGGACGCCTTGGACCAGATCCCAGGCGCTTCTCATCATATGTATATCCATCCTCATTCTCCTCCTCCCCCTCATCATCATTCCAATCACCATCCTCCTCCTCCTCCTCCTCCTCCTACTCCTCCTCCTCCTCCTCCTCATCCCCCTCATCCTCCTCCTAGTCCTCCTCCTCCTCCTCCAGCTCCTCCTCCTCCTCCTCCTCATCACCCGCCTTCTCCTCCTCCTCCTCCTCCTCCTCTTCCTCAGCATCATCATCATTATCATCATCGTCATCATCATCATCATCATCATCGCCCCCATCCCCCCCCCCCTGCATGTTCCCCCTCCCCCCTCCTCCGCATCGCATTCCTCCCCGTCACCCCTCCTCCCCCTCCTCCTTCTCACCCTCATCTCCCTCCTCATCATCATCCTCATCATACTCCTCCTTCTCATCATCCTCATCATCATCCCCATCCTCCTTAACCTCAGCCCCGTCATCATCCTCGTACTCCTCCTCATGTTCCTCCCCCTCCTCCTTCTTCCCCTCCTCCTTCTCCTCCTCCTCCCCCTCCTCCTCCCCCTCCTCCTCCTCATCGTCATCATCGTGATCACCATCACCATCCTAGTCCTCCTCCTAATCTTCCTCCTCCTCCTCCTCCGCCCCCTCCTCCTCACCTTCCTCCTCCTCATCCCTGTGTTCTCCCCGCCAGGCTTCGTCAGCATCACCGTGACCGACGAGAGCGGCGGCACCCACACGATGAACGTCAAGTCGGCGGCATATCGCCGCACGCATCTGCAGATCGAGATGCTACCCTCCAATTTGGAAGTCTTGCAGATGAAGCCTCTGGTGGTGGCCTCGGGCGACTGGGCACCCGTTATCGACAACCCTTTGGTATCGTGGCTCGCGTACCGCCACGCCCTCTCGGTGTCGTATTGCTGCGCCAACAAGGGCAAGGTCCTCCACAAATCTATGAAAGTACCGACTAAAGGCGACGCCCAATGCAAGCAGGCCGAGGCCGAGAAGATCGCAGCCGTGTTGCTCGAGTGGCGGGCGCAGCACCACACGGAGCCCTCCATTAAAGCTTGATGCGGGTGGTTGGCCAACGCACGTCGCCGTGCGTGGGCGTAGGTGTCGAGCGCGGCCATCCTAGCTCGTGTTCTTTAGGCCCCCTCGCACTGAGGCAGTTCTCAAGAATTCAGGCGCTGCATGAGCGTCCCAGAAGCGAGCTGGTGTCGGGGAGTGCCAGCGTATCGTGCAGGGGTGGACGCTGCGCAAGAAGCCATCGCCCCAGCCCAGCCCCACCTCCAGCTAAGGCCCAGGTCCAGCTCCAACAACAGTCCAGGTTCAACCCCAACACCAGTTCCAAATCCAACACCGTCCCACACTGCAGTTCCGTCTCCAGGTCCTTCTGCAGCCCCAGCCACAGCCCCAGCTCCAGACTCAGCTCAGCTCCAGACCCTGCCCAGCTCCAAGTCAGGCCCCAGTTCCAGCTCAAGCTCCAGCTCCAGCTCAGCGGTACTCCTCATACCTTCCTCATCCACCCTCATCCTGTCTTACCATCTACCAGTCCACCCCCGTGCCACACTCCTCCACCTCCCACCCCCAACATCCGTACATGGTCCTCATCCACCGCCTCTCACTCCTCTTTTATCCTCCTCCTCCTCCTCATGTGCTCATTCTCATATTCCTCCTCATCATCCACATCCTCGGGCATCCCTGGATACATATTGTTGGTGCGGCTGCTGCAGATCATGGTCCTCATCCTCTTCCACCTCCTCCTCATCATCATCCTCATCCTCCGCCTCCTCTTCCTCACCCTCCTCATCATCCTCATCCTCCTCCTCTTCTTCCTCCTCATCGTTCTCATCATCATCTTCCCTCGGTGTTCCATCGTCAGCGTCGACATCGCCAGTCGCACTCAGCTTTGCATGATGGTCGAGCTAGGTAGCATCTGCCCACCGTCAGATGTAGATCACCCTGGACCACGGGTGAGCTGATGTAGTTCACTCCCCAGCCCGAGTGAGCTACATGTAGCTCACTCGGGCTGGGGAGTGAGCGCAATTGAGCTCACTAGGGCAGGGGAGTGAGCTACGCTGCGTGGGTAGCGTCGGATGTAGCTCACTCGCGCTGGGGAGTGAGCTCAATTGAGCTCACTCCCCAGCGCGAGTGAGCGCAATTGCGCTCACTCCCCAGCCCGAGTGAGCTACACGACCCGCGCCAGACCGTCAGGTGCGTGGCGTAGCTCACTCGCGCTGGGGAGTGAGCGCAATTGCGCTCACTCCCCAGCGCGAGTGAGCTCAATTGAGTTCGCTCCCCAGCGCAAGTGAGCTACACGGCCCACATCAGACCCTCAGGTGCGTGGCGTAGCTCACTCGGCCTGGGGAGTGAGCGCAATTGCGCTCACTCGCGCTGGGGAGTGAGCTCATCTGAGGTGCCGCAGCTACGGCTCGGCCGAACGAATTGTCGGATACCTGGCCGAAAGGGGGTGGTCCGGTTGTCGGGTGGGGGGTGGGCGCGTCTCTCTCGCGCCCGCCGCCGCCGCCCTCGCCCGCTGCCCTCTTCGCCAACAAGCAGGCGGGCCCGCGCGAGCCCGCGCGTGCTTGCAAGGGAGCGGCTGGGGTGCGCAGAGGAGAAGGCGACAGGGGCTGCCGATGCAGAGGATGATTAGAACAATGTAAATCCAGCGAGTGGCCCAAGAACGCCCCGAGCGGGCCCAAGGTGGCCCCAAGAAGCCCTAGGGGGCCTCCCGTGGGACGAGGCGGATGAGGAGGAGGACATAGATGAGGAGGAGGAGGAGGAGGAGGAGGAGGAGGAGGAGCATGAGGATGGGGGGGAGGAGGAGGAGGAGGAGGAGGAAGGAGGAGGAGGAGGAGGGGGAGGAGGAGGTCTGTGGCCCAAAACCCTGCGGTATTTCAACCCACCTTTTCGCCCCCAAAACGTTGGTTGAAATACATACCATTTTGGGGTTATTTTTCCTCGGAGGAGGAGGGGGAGGAGGAGGAGGATTAGGAGGATGATGACGCTGCTGATGAAATGATGATGGTGAGGAGGAGGAGGAGGAGGAGGAAGATGAGGAGGGGAGACGATCAGGAGGATGATGAGGAATATAAGGAGGAGGAGGAGTCGGAGCCCAAGACGTCCACATGTTGACTTCTGGCAGCTGTGTGTGCCCGAACTGTTAAACCCAACGCGGAGGATGATTACAGGGGGGGCGATGAGGACGATAAGGAGGATGAGGAACACACGTGGTCGACCCTTTGACCTCTCATGGGGCGGTTGCTGGCCACACTTTCGAGGCGAAGCCAGCCACGGCCACGGGAGGTCCGAAATCGCCCGAAACACATGTCAAATGTTTCCCTCCCCCTCCTTCACATCCTCCTTCCCCCCTTCCCCTCCCCCTCCCCCCCCTCCCCCTCCTCCGTCATATAGCCTTTTTGGCTCGACTTGTTTCAAGCTCACTTCGCGCCCTCGCGCCACATACCCTGGCCAGCCGACCTCATGTCCATCGGCGAGCAGCTGGTTGGCAACCTGAGGGCGCGGGTGTCCCTCGTCGTGTCGCAGGTGTCGGCTGGGCTCGACCGCGACAGCATCCTGACCGCCCAGTCGGACGCGTTCGTTGTCGACCTGAGGGGCGCGGGGCCGCTCAGCATCGAGGACGTGACATTGGTATCCAGTGAGATAGCAATTGGCCCATGGAGCCCTGCGCAGAAGGCGAGCCTCGCCACGGCCGTTGGCCAGAGCGGCGGCCCAAGACCTCAGGAGCCTCGGGCCAGGGGGATGCAGACCATGACCTACGTGGAGAGGTTCATGGCCGAGAGCGACTGGGCTCGCTTGCAGGACAGCAACATCTCGGTCGATGCCAAGATCCACCACCTCGCGGAGCGACTTTGGCTACTGGGCATCACGTGCCCGTCGATCCCCTTGCTCAAGCGCGCAGTGGCCATGGTGGTGATGGTTGGGCTTCCTCCTGAGAGCAAAGGGGCCTCACCAGAGGCCAAGCAACGGTGGTGCTGCGACCTCAAGGCATCCATCAAACGCATCGACGAGCAGCGTGAATGGCCAGGACACCACATAAAGCTGTACGTCGACAATCCCGCGGACTTGCCTGCTAGCGTCCGCGACTTCGCCTACTCGGGCTCTGGGCCACCAGTTGCCCCGCCAGCGTCGGTGACGGCGATGGCCCTCGACCAGCAGATGAAATCGTTCGGCTACAAGAAATCCCACGCCAGTTTGAGTAGGGCTCATCCGACCACGCGCGCAAGCCCAGGAGGGACCATGGTGCCCATCAGCGTCCCGCAGGCGAGCAGAGGCGGCTTCCACGGCATGGAGGGCATGGACGCCATGCAGAGCATGCAGTTTCTGATGCAGATGGCCCCCTTCGTCCAGCAGCTGATGGGCGGCGGCAGCTCCTCAGAGGGCAGTTCCCCTGCGGCAGGCGGCGGCGGCGTGCCGATCACGTTCACGAGCGGGTGCAGGCGCGGACCGCCCAGCAGTGCGGTGAGCCACCACGACACGCTGAGTGCTACAACGTTGCAGATGGCAAACACGCGCAACTCCGAGCAGGACCTGAGTGGCTTCGACTCTCAACTGTCGTCGAGCGGTGGGTCGCCGCCGCCGATCAGCGATGGCCAGCCTCATGGTGGTGAAGTGGCGCTGGTTCCAGTTCAAGCTCCTGCGCGTGCTCCTGCGGGTGCTCTGCCTGACGGACTTCCAGCTGTTCGAGCCGACCCCGCGGCAGAGTTGGAGAGGAAGCTGAACGAGTCAGCGCGTGCTGCTGGGAGCCGCTACACGACGGCAGCAATGAAGCGGCCTGCCGCCGCCGTGTCCGAGATCGAGGAGGAGGGCGAGCAGCCGCCCGAGCCGACGGCGAGGGCGAAGGGCAAGGCCAAGGGCAAGGCCAAGGGCAAGGCGACCGCCAAGCCCAAGGCCAAGCCCAAGGCCAAGTCCACGGCTTCCCACGGGGCTGGCCGCAAGGCCACTGCAACGAAAGGCTTACGGGTCATGGGCAATGAGGAGGAGGAGACGGGGGGGGGGAGGACAAGGGAGGAATGAGTCGGAGGAGGAGGCACAGGAGGAGGCGGAGGAGGACGATGGGGAGGAGGAAGAGGAGGAGGAGGAGGAGGAGGAGGAGGAGGAGGACGATGAGGATGGCAAGGGGCGGAAACTGTGGAGGATGTTGCAAAGCGGTTCTTGACCGAAGAGGGCCTGTGGGAGACATAAGGGGGGCGTCGAGGCATCTACGAGGTTTCGGGTGTCCCCACTTGGCCGCGGGGTCGTTGATGGGGTAGCACATTGCAGCCCCTCATCCTCCTCCTCATCCACCTCCTCCTTCTCCTCCTCCTCATCCGTTCCCTCCTCCTCCTTGTCCTCCTCCTCCGTGTCCTCCTCCTCCTCCTCCTCCTCCTCCTCCTCCTCCCTTCCCAAATTCACACTACTTCCTCAAAGGCATCATGGTGAAGAACGGGGTCACGATCGACATTAGCGACGTTGTCACTGCGGCCTCGATCGAGGGCAGGGGCCGCAACACGTTCGGATCGAGGGCCTACGGTCGGGCCAAAACTCAGGCTACATCGGCTGGGTTGTCTGGTAAGGTCGTTGGCGATATCGCCAAGTGGGGCTTCGGCGTGGCGACCGAAGTTTGGGACAGCTCCTGAATACACATTTCAGGTGCATGTCTGATCGCACGCTGCACGGTGAATGTTTGCAAGCATGGGGTTCGCTTCTACTCAATTCCCCAGGTCGCGTGCTTTTTGGCAGTATCATGCTGTTTGCGCCTGGCTGCTGTTTCCAGTGCGCCCAGTGAGGGCGCTGAACGGGGGAGGAAGGGAGGGGTGGAGAAATGGGGAGGAGGAGGAAGCCCGCACGAAGAAGGAGGGAGAGAAGGAGGAGGAGGAGGATGAGGAGGATGAGGAGAAGGAGGAGGATGAGGAGGAGGAGGAGGAGGAGGAGGAGGAGGAGGAGGAATGATGGCTGCGATCGCAGCGCTAGGCGATACAGAAATGAAGAGCTCAGTGCAGGCCAAGCATGGGAAACGATCGATCCCTCGCCTTCGCTATCCCTACGATTCCTCCATGGGGTCCATCCTCCTCTTCGGAGCCTCTGGGTCAGTAATGCGCGCCCCTCCCAAGACGCTGGCAAAACAAACGCCGACGCACGCAAGAGACCAGCAATGAAACAACAATCGGCAATGCAAGACTACGCAACAACGCAAGACACCTAAATAACACAACTAGCACCTAAGTAGCACAACTAGCGGAATAGGCACCTAATAACACACCTAACGAAGTAAGCAATACGTGATAGATATGCAGTGCCATCCCACGTGCC